ATAACTTTGCGAAAATTTTTCGCACTCTGATTTTACGATAAGGTGGGGTGTTACAATTGGTATCAGAGCACGTTTCTGCGTCTCTGAAAAGTTTTCAGTCAGTAATTTTTCAGAAAAACCTGAATCGTCATGCTCACGCCCCACCGACGACAGGTAAGTGTTGATTTATGTTTTCAGTTATAAACATATTACTTTGTCTATGCTCAGAATTAAGGATCAGGACTTTAGTTAAGATGCTCAAATCAGGTTCAGACTTTAGAGTTTGGACATGACTCTAGAATTCAGGGCATTCAGATATGACTCTAGACTTTAGTATCTTTCGATATGACTCTAGAGTTCTTCAGGATTCACGTCAGTATTTATCGGCCATTTTTGGCAACTCATCAAGAGATTTGTGTGCCTCAGTAATTAGTCAGAATGTTATCACATATTCAATAATGTTAAATTTTCTCAATGTTCAGATGCCGCCACGTAGGGAACCCGATCATCAGGCTCCTACTCAGGCTAATCTAGTCGCACAGTTCCGCGACTACCACGCTGAAAAGTTCTCAGGGCAGGGAGATCCCCGCATTGTAGATGAATGGATTCAGGGCCTGGAGTTTATCTTTGAGGTCATGGACTACCCCGATAGGTATCGCGTAATTTGCGCTCAGCTTCAGCTCACTGGTGATGCTAGGCTCTGGTGGAATGCCTACTGGAGCATGCGTCCCGGTGAAAAAGCGGGATGTACATGGGACATGCTCAAGGAGCTAGTCCGCGAAAAGTACTACCCCTCCTACTATCGGGCAGAAATGGAGCGTCAGTTCTTAGCGCTCCAGCAGGGCACTCGTACGGTTGATGAGTACGAGCGAGAGTTCACTAGACTTGCAGCTTTCGTACTGGACCTGGTTCGCACAGAGGCTCAGAGAGCGCCCAGCGGTTCATCGACGGGCTTTACCCAGCAGTCCGTCACAACATCGTGGGACACGGGACTCAGACCTATGCTCGCGCAGTTTCTATCGCCCAGGAGGTGGACGCTAGCATCAGGAGGGAGGCCGTCCGTGATCGTGCCCAGCCATCCGCCCCAGTTCAGCCATTCGCAGCTCCACCAGCTCTACCAGCTCCTCAGCCGGCAAAGGAGAAGAAGAGGAAGGGGAAGGGTGCACAGACTGACCGAAGGACCCGACAGACAGCAGCAGGTTCCACCGTGCCCGACTTGCGGACGACTTCATCGGGGAGAGTGCCACATGGGTCAGGACATCTGCTACTACTGCCACGAGCCTGGACACTTTGCGAGTCGCTGTCCGAAGAGACTTCAGCAGCAGCCCCAACAGCCTCAGCAGCCACCACAGCAGCAGCAGCCACGTCAGCAGGCACAGAGGCCGCCTCAGCAGCAGCAGCAGAGGGGCAGACAGCAGGCCCGGGTTTACGCGGTTGATCAGGCGGAGGCAGCACAGCAGCCAGGTACTATGTCAGGGATGGTTGTGCTTAATGATATTCATGTTTTCGCTTTGTTCGATACTGGAGCAACGCATTCCTTCATATCACGACGATGTCTTGATGCCATCGGAGTTCACGCCGTTACCGCTGTCGATCCTCTCGAGGTGAGTTTAGCCTCGGGACGAAAGATAGTGGCCTCAGCTAAAGCTTCAGATCTTAGCCTTTCCATCGGTGGTCGTTTATTGTCTACCGACGCATTTGTTCTCGAGATGAGGGACTTCGACCTTATTCTCGGAATGTATTGGCTATCCTTCTATCATGCAGACATCAGGTGTCATGACCGGGAGATCACTCTCTATCTTCCGGGAGACGAGTCGATAACTTTCTTTGGCTCCAGGAATCGTTCACTGCCTCATGTTGTTTCGATGGCGAAAGCCACTAAGTTACTGCGACGAGGCAACTGCCAGGGTTATCTGGTAAGCCTTGTCGACGATTCTCAGAAAGCACGTTCACCACATGATGCTCTAATTGTTCGCGAGTTTGTGGACGTGTTCCCAGACGAGCTTCCAGGAGGACCGCCTAACCGGCAGGTGGAGTTCTCTATCGATCTCATTCCAGGGGCCGGTCCAGTATCCAAAGCCCCGTATCGTATGGCGCCAAAAGAGTTGCAGGAGCTTAAGGCTCAGATTCAGGAGCTATTACGACTCGTTTTTATCCGGCCGAGCGTGTCACCGTGGGGAGCACCCGTTCTCTTTGTTAAGAAGAAGGACGGATCCATGCGCATATGTATCGACTACCGGGATCTTAACCGGTTGACGATCAAGAACAAGTATCCGCTTCCCAGGATTGACGACTTATTTGATCAATTGAGGGGAGCCTGTGTGTTCTCAAAGGTTGATTTAGGATCAGGCTACCACCAGCTGAAGATTAAGGAGTCAGATATCGCTAAGACCGCTTTCAGGACTCGTTACGGCCATTACGAGATTGTTGTCATGCCATTCGGTCTCAGCAATGCGCCAGCTGTTTTCATGGACCTCATGAACCGTATCTTCCATCCCTACCTCGATCAGTTCGTTATTTTCTTTATTGACGATATTCTTATCTACTCGAAGAGCTAGAAGGAGCACGAGGAGCATCTGAGGGTGGTTCTTGAAACCCTCAGACGAGAAAAGTTGTTTGCAAAATTCTCCAAATGCGAGTTCTGGCTCCAGCGAGTATCCTTTCTAGGTCATGTGATTACTCAGGCAGGTATGGAGGTGGATCCTTCCAAGGTCTCAGCCGTTCAGAACTGGTCGACCCGAGGAGTCCGTTCGAGGTTCACAGTTTTCTCGGTTTAGCTGGCTACTATCGCAGGTTTATCGAGGGCTTTTCCAAGATTGCCCTCCCTCTTTCCCAGCTGACGAGGAAGTCTGTGAAGTTTGAGTGGACTGATCGATGTGAGGCGAGCTTTCAGGAGCTCAAGAGGAGGTTAACTTCAGCACCGGTGTTGACTATTCCCGATCCTTCTCGGAGTTTCACTATCTTCAGTGACGCTTCGAGGCAGGGCTTGGGATGTATCCTGATGCAGGACGACCAGGTCATTGCGTATGCTTCACGTCAGCTTAAGCCGCATGAGCAGAACTATCCGACGCACGACTTGGAGTTAGCAGCAGTCGTTCATGCTCTCAAGATCTGGCGACATTATCTTTACGGCGGACGTTGCGAGATTTTCACAGATCATAAGACCCTGCAGTACATCTTCACGCAGAAGGAGCTTAATATGAGACAGTGCCGTTGGCTCGAACTTGTCAAGGATTATGACTGCTCTTTTCAGTATCATCCGGGAAAGGCGAACGTCGTGGCTGACGCCCTAAGCCGAAAGGTGAGGGGAGACTTGACGTACGTCATTACTCAGCAGAGTCCGTTAATTCAGGAGTTTGCCCGGATGCAGCTTCAGGCGATCGATGCACTTCCCATAGCCGTTTCGGGGAGTACCAGTGCCAGTGTCAGTGCCATGCAGCTCTAGCCGACGCTGAGAGAGAGAATCCGGCGAGAGCAGGCTTCTGACGAGTTCATTCGTGTTATGGAGGCCAAGGTTCACGCCGGAGGCGTCGAGGATTTCCAGTTAGGTGCCGATGGTGCCTTAGAGTTCAAAGGCAGGATCGTGGTCCCGAAGGTCGAGGCGTTGCGGAAGGAGATTTTATTAGAGGCTCATACCGCACCCTATTTGGCCCATCTCGGGAGCACGAAGATGTATCACGACCTGAACGGGGTCGTTCTGGTGGCGCGGCATGAAGAAGGACGTCGCCGAGTTCGTCAGGAAATGTCTTACCTGTCAGCAAGTCAAAGCCGAACATCAGAGTCCGATCGGCCTCCTGCAGCCACTGCCGATTCCAAGGTGGAAGTTGGAGGAAGTCACGATGGATTTCGTTACGGGATTGCCGAGGTCGTCTGAACATCACGACGCTATCTGGGTCGTGGTCGACAGATTGACTAAGGTTGCGCATTTCTTACCCGTTTCGATGAAGATGTCTCTGGACAAGTTGGCTGAGATATATACCCGTGGGATCATCCGACTCCACGGAGTGCCCGTTACGATCGTATCTGACAGAGATCCCAGATTCGTCAGTCGATTCTGGCACAGTTTACATGAGGCGATGGGCACAAAGCTAGAGTTCAGTTCAGCCTACCATCCGAAGACGGACGGTCAGTCAGAGCGGACCATTCAGACGCTTGAGGATATGCTTCGCGCTTTGGTTGTTGACAGGGGTGCTAAGTGGGAGTCGTTATTGTCGTACGCCGAGTTCGCGTATAACAACAGTTATCATTCTTCTATCCAGGTGGCTCCTTACGAGGCACTTTATGGTCGCAAGTGTCGTTCCCCTCTTTATTGGGACGACGTCGGAGAGCGACGAGTACTCGGTCCTAAGTTGATCGAGGAGACGGCAGACGAGGTCGAGTTGATCCGGCAGAGACTCAGGACAGCTCAGAGTCGATAGAAATCTTCCGCTGATCATCATCGACGAGACATTCAGTTTGAGGTTGGCGAGCCAGCCTTTCTCAGAGTTCGTCCGATTCGCGGAGTTGTACGATTTGGAATGAGAGGGAAGCTGCACCCTCGATTCATTGGTCCTTTCGAGGTTCTCGAACGAGTAGGCGAGGTCGCGTATCGATTAGCCCTACCTCCCGAGTTATCAGGCATTCATAATGTTTTCCACGCATCTATGTTGCGTAAGTACGTATGCGACCCCGATCATGTTATTCCTCATACGGATATTCAGGTTCAGCCAGATCTATCGTACGAGGAGCGACCGGTAGCTGTACTAGACCGTCAAGTTCGTCGGCTCCGGAAGCGAGATATTCCCCTCGTGCGTATTCAGTGGGATCGCCACGGAGCTACTTGGGAGGAGGAATCCGATATTCGCGCTCGTTTTCCAGACTTTCAGTTTTGATGTACATATTTCTTTATCCTATGTACATAGTTCATGTATATTCAGTTATGTTCTGAATTTCCGAGGACGGAAATTTTGTAAGGAGGGAGGATTGTAATATCCCGATATTTTATTAGTATAAATTATGTTTTAGTTCCGATATAATAATGTTATCGATTATTATTTTCAGAATTAATTATTTTCAGTCGAGATTACCGAAATTTATTTTCGACGTACCGTTTACGTTCGGAATAATTTTGGTAATTAAGCATTATATTTAATTAAATAATTAAATATAAGTTAAGTAATTAATTAATATTAATCACATTATTAGGGCAAAAGCCGTGAGCTATGTACAATACTTTTCCAAATTCTTTCTCTAAGGCCGTAGCCTTTCTTCAAGTAAAGGAACCAAACCATTCTTCTCCCTTTAAGTACTACATGTGTCAACAAGTGAGGGTTTAAGAATGGATTAGTCATCTTAAACCTTTTCTTGGCTTGGCAAATGTCATTAGTAAGATTGGCCACATAGGTGCCTTGTCACCAAAGCACCCTCTCGGCTATGTATATAAGGGGGAGTTTGGACCGATTTTTCCTCACCAATTTCAGCCATATATTATCACCTTTCTTCAGCAGCAAAGTAGAGGGAAAGAGTAGTAAGCTAGTTACCTCAAGTTCCTTTGTATTGCACACGCACGCACAAGGCATATTTGGAGGCAAATTCACGCATATCTTAGCACAATTCAGCGAAGGATTGAAGAGGTAACTTTCTCCTCGTCTTATAATCTTGTTAGTAAGGCCATAATAAGGTTAAGTGTTCGATTTATATTCAAAAATTATGAGAAAGTTCATGTTGTATTCGGTTAGGTCATATTTAAGAAATACCGAGTTATGTTCATTTTTCTCCAGCAAGTCCCGAGTGTTCATGTCCCTTCAGTCCTTATTTAATGTATAATGTTCAGTTTAGGAAGATAGGTCGGGATAAATTAACGTTTTGTTCATGAATTGGCTCAAGCAAGGGGGCTGCGCATATAGCGCACACCCGCGGGCCATCACGTACCTTGTAATGTTATCTTTCAGTATTGTCAAGTTTGTTTGAACAATTGATGTTTAAATGA